TTGAATGCTTTTGAGATAAAAGCAAATTCTGGAACTGAGCAGAGAGGAGGTTACGTTAGACTTACTATTGTGCAATGTGATCGGATTAATCAGTGACCTTAGTATAAAAGCACTTCTAGATGCTGATCCCATTGTGACGCAGTGACTGCAATATAATTGGATTTATTATCCATCTTGAAAAGGAGTACATTAACTCTGTTTCTCTCTCCACAGATGCTGCCAGACATGCTGAGTTTCTCCAGCACTTCCTGTTATTATTAAAATAAGGGTGTTATGTTTCATTTAGACAGGGTTTCGTCTGACCACATCTTGATTACTATGCACAGCTTTGATCTGCTCATTTAAGGAAAGATAAAAATGCATTGAAGGTGACTCAGAAGAGATTTACCAGATTGATACCTGGAATGAGTATTGTCTTTTGAGGGTAGGTTGGACAGGTTGGGCTTATTTCCACTGGGGTATGTAGGAGTGAGGGGTGACTTGATTGAAGTGTTTTAGATCCTGAATTGTTTTGACAAGGTGGATGGGAAAATAATGGCACTGGGAGCATTGTTTTAACATTAGACATTAACATTTCAAGAAACATTTTCCCAGAGGGTTATTGTGATTTTAGAACTCACTGACTCAGAATATGGTGGAGATGGGTTTGTTAAATATTTTTAAGACAGAGATGGATAGCATCTTGTTAGGTGAGGGGATTTAAGGTCATCGGAACAGACAGGAATGTGGAATTTTTAAGCACAAGCAGATCCGTTATGATTTAATTGAATGGGAGAGCAGGCTTGAAGGGCTGAATTGCTCCTGTTTTGTATATTTGTATGTATGGTCATATGTATTTATTTATAAATTACTTCTAAGCTGTTAATGCCGAAATGAGGGTGTGGAGACAGCTTTAATTATGCCAAAGGTAGATTATCTGCACTTGCTATACTGACTCAGAAGCATCTACCTTAGACCAATGAAGTAAAAACAGAAATGTGGGAAACGCTTGATAGTTCAGGCAGCATCTGTAGAGAGAGAGTAAAACGCACTTTAACGTTTTAAATCAATTATCCTTCATCTCAACAGTCTAATGAAAATTGTCATCATAGAATGCATTTCACCAGGGTAGATGTGATCAACTAATGCAATCATCTGGACTTTGCCCTACTGACAATCTATGGTGATGGTTAAAGCACAACCCTTGCTGATTATCTCAGGAGATATCAGTAAACAATTAATTAGCAACAGCAGAGACAAGGCACTGAAACATTGCTTGCTAGGATAAACAGTATAATCATTTCCTCGGGGAAAATTGACAGAGTATGGTGGATGTGTTACTGGAGTGGTAATCCAGAGGCCTGGCCAAATAATCCAGAGAATAAGACTTCAAATTCTGGAATGACTGCTTTTGTACTTGAATTCAGATAAAAAAATAAACCCGTAAAATTGACACGTTGGAACTGACAAATTGTTATTAAAAGCTTGGTTTGTTCGCACATGGCCTTTAGGGAGGGAATCAAGACTGTATCTGGTATTGGAGTTCTGACTTATATTAAATCCAGTGTTGTATATGATTTGGAAGTGGTTGGTACTGTCAACAAATGTAGAGAAAATGTTTCTAAATTCCCTTAACATAGGCAAACTTGTTTAGATTTTTTTTAATATTCAAATATATCTGTCTTTAAGATTAATTGTCTCTAAACCAAGCTACTGATCAAGTAGAGTTCCTGTTTTGCCCCAGATAGATTGTCCATAGCTCAAAGGTCATGAGGTGACCCTGTTTTGTTTACCAGCCTAATCCTGTCTAATTTGTCATTTGTGAAAAGAAGATGATTTTCTGATGAGAAGCCCACTCTTGATCTAGAGCCTCTCACTTCAAGTTCTACCCACCACTTTTTGTATTTATCTCCTGCTTACAATGGAAGGACAAGATATTGTAAGGGCAAAATCAAGGCCCTTGTGGCATAGAAGATGATACTTTATGAGAATTGGGTACTTTTGGCAGATTTGTCAAATGGTAACTTGGTAAAAAACTGTGACAAAGGTGAAAACAGTGATACGTTGTCTGGCCATCTGTTACAACTGTGAAGCTACCTCAACATCTTGGGCCCTCCTCTCCTGAGACCATGCAAAAGCAGCTGAGGGAACGGGTGTAACTGATTCCTAAGGGTGAATTGAGTTGTGTTATGATGGACAGTCATGATATTACAAATTCTTTTTAAAAAACAAGCTACTTTGGAAGTTACCTTTTATAAACCATGAACTGAGTTTAAATACTGTTTACAAAATGGGTCACTTGACTATCTCATTTTGGATTCAGACTGGAACTACTTCCAAAGAGACAATAGAAGACATTCTCACACATATATGTGGAAGAAAGACAATTAAAAGTACAATGAGCAATTCACAATAAGATCCATCAATGTAATGGCTTCCTTACAAGCACACATATTTATGAATGAAATAGATAAGAATACGGGGAATGACAAGTTTGCAAATGATAGGACGATTAATTGGGTGAGGTGAGAGATCCTAGGTTTCAGAGAGAGATGGATGGATTGTTCAGATGGATAGATCAATGGCTGATTAAATTTAACCCTGATAAATGTGAGGTGATGCACTTTGTAAAAGGAATAAGACAAGGGATTACTCAACGGCAGGACACAAGAATCTCAGAGGAACGGAGACCTTGGGATGGTTGTCGACTGATCCCTGAATGTGGCAGGACAAGTTAATAGGATGGTTAAGAATGCATATGGGACTCTTGCTTTTATCAGTCATGGCATAGATTGTTAAGAGCAGGGAGGTTGGAGCTATACACAACTTTAGTTAGGCCACAGCTGGAATGCTATTTGCAACTCTGGTCACCAGACTATAGGAAAGATGTGATTGCACAGGAGAGGTTGCAGAGGTGATTCATCAGGATGGTGCCAGGGTTGAAGTATTTTAACTATGAAGAGAGGTTGGGTAGGCTAGGCTAGAGCAGAGAAGGCTGAGGAGGTGACCTGATTTAAGGTGGAGATGTTTGAGGAGAATGGACATGGTGGATAGAAAGCAGCTGTTCCCCTCAGTTGAAAGGTAAATAATGAAGGGGCATAGTTTTAAGGTGAAGAGCAGGAGATATAGAGGGTATTTGAAGAATAAGTTTTCACTTAGAGGATGGTGGACATGCACAGCTTGGGAGGGTCGTAGAGGGGGGATACCTAACAATCTTTAAGAAGTACGCAGCTGAGCACTTGAAATGCTGTAACATTCAAGGCTATGGGCCAAATGCTGGAAATGCTGGAAAGTGGAATTATTGTAGATAAGATGGCAAGGAGTCGGTCAGCTGAAGGGTCACGTTTGTGGTATCTGACACTGTGGCTATGACTGGATGACACACACCTTTGACCAATAAAGAGCTGAAGTTGGCCTCCCTGAACACTACTGGTGGTACCAAGACCTCAGACTAAGTGGGGTTACGTTATGTAGAACATGATATAGTATTTTGTTACTGATCACATGATACAGTAGCTATCTTTGCTTGCTTACCAAAAATGTTACAAAAGGTGAGGAAAGCCATGTGAAATCGGATGCATTGTGAGAGATGTACCTTGAAATGCCTTCAGAGAATGACAAGAGGAACAACTCTGGGAGAGAGAGAGACACACACAGAAACAACTAATGATCCCCTCTTATTACTTAGGCAATCGAAAAAGCCTTGCCTGTAAAATCAGAGAACAAACGTTCCTCTTTCTACCTTATGCTATCCACTTGAAAAGCTTTACCATCGCTGAATCCCGCTGTAAACATCCTGGGCATTACCATTGACCAGAAACTGAACTGGGCCAGCCAAATAACTACTGTAGCTATTTGAGCAAGTCAGAAACTGGGTGCCCTAAGGTAGAAAACTCACCTCCTGTTACTCCAAATCCTGTGCACCATCTACAAAACATAAGTCGGGGATGTGTTGGAATACTCTCCACTTGACTTGATGGATGCAGCACTAACTACACTCTGGAAACATAATACCATCCACGACAAAGCATCCCACTTGTTTGGTATAATGAAGTGTCCCTTCTTCAGAAGGGTCCCGACCCGAAACATCAACTTGCCTACTCCACTGATGCTGCCTGGCCTGCTGTGTTCCTCCAGCTCCACACTGTGTTATCTCTGACTCCAGCATCAGCAGTTCTTACTACCACTTGTTCACTGTCTGCAAGCACTGTGTTCAGCAGTGACGTACAGTAGCAGCAGTGTATACCATGTCCAAGATACTTTGCAGTAACTCATCAAGCCTCCCTCAACAGCACCTTCCAAACACATGACCTTTACCATCTAGAAGGTCAACGATAGTAGATGCATGGTAACACCACTACCTGCAACTTCCTGTCCAAACCACATACTATCCTGAATTGGAACTATATCACCATTCCTTCACTTGCTTGGTCAACATATTGGATCTCCCTTTCTAATAGTGTCCCTATGTTACGAAGAACTGAAACAGTCCAAAAAAGCAGTTTACAACTGCTTTCTCAAGGGTGTTTAGGATAGCTAACAAATACTGGCCAAGCCAGTAACAACCACATCCCATGAAAGAATAAGAAAAATGCTTACCTTTGAAATAAACCTCTGGAAATTCAACTTTGAAATGCACCAAAGCTGCTGAGACAATTCTGCAATTCCAAGATTTCTGTTCAGAAAAGTGCAGTACCTCATCTTTGAATTATTTGGCCTGCATTAAACAATAGCAATATCGTTCTTGTCTTCACCTGTATCATGTGTATGCAAAAGAACACTTAGCTTGTCTTGCAAAAATAGATTGCAGTGCTTGTTTTGTGATTGGTGATACTGCATGCCATTGCCTGTCCTACACTGAATTAATTTATCAGACTATATCGTCAAATTGGATGTATACGCTTGAGTGCTTTAAAATTTGTAATAAATATGGAGTTAGCAAGTGGGCTTATTACCCTCCCATTTTATAGTATTGTATCTGTGAGTATCAATTGCCTGATTTGTTTTTCTATTTTTTTCAGTGTCACAGCACATGGCCATGCACAATCCCTTGGGAAAGCTGTCAGGTGCTGCTGTCCTTTGCCATAAGTGTGGAAAACCATGTAAAGGAGAGGCCCTGAGGGTGCAGGACAAATTCTTCCACATCAATTGTTTCACTTGTAAAGGTAATTTTCTTCTTTGATTCAATGTACTTTCATATTGGATATACTTTTAACACTAGTTATTCAGATTATTTGAAAGTTTCTTTCCACCTGAACTAAATTAAAAATGTAGCGTAGTTCATGCTGACCTCTTGAAAGGAAATGGCAAGCAACTGGCTTTGCTAACACCAGCAGACATAGCTGTACTACTTAAAGCACTACTGGATTCTGCCTTCCTGTGCTTAAACTACTCACAATCCAGGATCATTGTGAAATGCAAAAATAACTTGGTCTTATCTCTACTACCTAATGTCCTTTTAAACCCCTCTCCACTTCCCCTTCCACTCCCACTTTGAATAATGTGTGCAAGAAGCTTATGGGCTTCTTTGTCACTTCAGTTGCGATCATCCAATCAGCAGCCTCTGTCACATCCCTCCCTCTTTTTCTGCAATTGCATGGCCAAACATGCCCTAAAGATTATAAAGATTACAATGTCATTGTCATTAAACTCATTGTTCTCTAGTTTCTCTCCTATCAACTCTCATGCTCTCACTGAGCTCACCTTGTCCAAGAGAACCTGCTCCCTTGACTCTATTTGCACTGAAATGCTGATCACCAGCTTTTCCCTCCTGGTGCCTATGTCAGTATTGTTAATAGTTCTGTCTTTATGTGATTTCAACAAACAGTCACTCCTTGACCCAACCCACTTTCCTCTCCAAATCCTTGAGCCTGCTCTCAGTTCCCAAATACGTTTCCTAAAACTGTATTCAAATCTTTGCAAACACATTTCCACTCCTGTCAGAGCACTGAAGCAACTGTTAGCAAAATTACAAATGACATCCTTTTGTATGGTTGGCCACACCATCCTCCTTCAATGTCTGCTCACTGTTGCCCAGCTAGATAGGATGTTAGGAACAAAAACAAAGTTGCTGGAAAATCTCAGTAGGCCTGGCAGCATCTGTGAAGGAAAAAACAGAATTAACGTTTCGGGTCCGGTGACCCTTCCTGTTCTGAGGAAGGATCACCGGATCAGAAACATTAACTCTGTTTTTTCCTTCACAGGCGCTGCCAGACCAACTGAGCTTTTCCAGCAACTTTGTTTTTGTTCCTGATTTACAGCATCCGCGGTACTTTCAGTTTTTATTTATGTAGGATGTTATTTTTATCTATCTAATGCAATCAGGTTATCACTTGCAATTACATTTCTTCTTGATCAACAACAGCTAATTTTGATATTTCTCAAGGATCCATCCTTGAACCCTCACCTTTTCTCACCTATAAACTGCCCTTCATTGGCATCATCCAAAAACATCAAAATTCATCTCTGGGTCATCACCACGCCATATTATTCCTCCACTGTTACTGAATTACCAGACAGTTTATTTGCGCAGAAATTTAGTCCATTTCAATATGCAGAAGACTAAAGCCATGTTTCTTCAGTCCTTGTTGCAAACTTGGTTCTTTAGATTTTGACTTCATTCCTCTCTATAGAAAATGGCTGAGACTAAATCAAATAAAAACCGAAAGATCTGCGGGTGCTGTATATCAGAAACAGAAACAGAAGCAGAAATTGCTGGAAAAGCTCAGCAGGTCCGGCAGCATCTGTGAAGAGAAATCAGAGTTAACGTTTCAGTTTTGAGGAAGGGTCACCAGACCCGAAACATTAATTCTGATTTCTCTTCACTGATGCTGCCGGACCTGCTGAGCTTATCCAGCAATTTCTGTTTCTGTTTCCGAGACTAAAAATCTTAGTGCCTTATTTGACCTCGAGATAAGCTTCAGATCACAGATTGTCTCTGTCAGGATGAACATTCATTTCCATCTTTGTAATATCGCATGACTTTGCCCGTGCTTCAGCTCATCTCTTGCTGAAAACTTCAGCAATGCTTTTGTTACTTCTAGACTTGAATAATGTAATGCATACCTGGCAGATCTCCCATATCCTACCCTCTGTAAACGTGAGATCAACCAAAAATCTATTGCCCAGGTCCTAACTCTCAGAATTATCTTTCATCCCTGTGCTCACTGATTTACTTTGGTGCCCAATTAAGCAATACCTTAAAATTCTCAGCCTTGCTTTCAAATCCCTGCCTTCCTTTTCCTACCTCCATAATCTCAACTAACTCTGCAACCCTTTATGACAATTTTAATCACTCCGCCATTGATGGCTACAACTTCAGTTGCTTAGGCCTAAAGCTCTGGAATTTTCTATGAACTTTTTTGCCTGAACAGATTGATTTCCTCAAGTAATCGTTCAAGTAGGAGAAACCAGCAAAATTGGTGAATGAGACATATAGGTCTGATTCATCTTGTAAACCTCAAAATGGACCTCCATTATGACCGGTACATTCACTTCCAGATATTACAACATTCTTTATTGGTTTTTGCCTCTGGATTAAAACTCTTTGACTATGCTTTCAATAACCTTAGTCATTGGTTAGCTCAGTTGGTTGGAAGGCTAGTCTGCAATGCAAAGTAAAACAGACTATGTGGGTTTAGTGTGAGGCTACCATGATGGACTCTTCTTCTCGACCTCTCCCCTCACCTGAGGAAATGAAGGAACAGAAAAATGAAAGTTCTGGAATAACTCAGCCAGTCTGGCAGCATCTCTGAGGAGAGAAACAGTTCATGTTTCAAGTCTGATATGACTCTTCCTCAGATAAGTCTGTTGTAAGGAAGTCATGTTGGATTTGAAACATGAACTGTTTCCCTTTTCACGGATGCTGCCAGACCTGCTGAGTTTCAGATTTTGTTTCAGATTTCCAAAACCCTTAATGTTTTGCTTTTTTTTTTAACCAAGATAAAGGGATTTGGTAGTGAGAAGAGAGGAAGAGAGCAGGTAGGGAAAGAGTGTTTGAAATATCCGCTTCCAGATATAAGGTTGGGAAACCAGCAGTACTGAAGAACCAGAGGAATGCAGGACACAGGCTGGGCTGAGTGGGATAGAGATTTCCCAAATGGTCCGAACTGATGTAATGTAGAGGTCTTGAAATTTATTTTCCTGAGTGAGCCCACTGGAGCAGGAAGAGAACAGTTTGCAGGGTTTTAGATTATTATTATGTTTATTAAAGGCAGAGATCTGGTGAGGGGTGTTTGAGAAATCAGTTGACTAATTAAAGTTGTTAATTATATTTCTGTTACTTTTGAACAGCTGTGAGGAGACAGCAGGGAGTTAGCTTGTAAAGTATCTTTTGTCTGAAATTATAAAGAGGAGGTATGGCTGCAAATTGCTTCCAGTTGCACATTGACATCCTGCAAAAAGGCTAGTGCCTGTTGTTAACATGTGCCTCACTGTCTTTTTATCAACACAACATTTGTTTGACATGAAAATTAGTTGAGGTGTTACACCTATTTATCTAACTACATAAGTATCAGAAATGTAAATTAAAGCATTAATGTTGTCTCGCTCAGTTATCAGAAATATGTTTTCCATTTTTCACTAGATTCACAATCAAGCTTCACCATGAACTCAAACTGAGGGTGGCATCCTGTGGAGGTGATCTGGGTCTTGGCTGTTGGCTGGACAGCCGAGACCATCACATTACCTCTTTCTGGGAAGACTCACCATGTCAGGTGTAACTCAGACATTTAACAGTGGATGGTAAATGTATAGGAAGAGTTTAGAGGGATATGGGCCAAATGTTGGTAAATGGGACTGTATCAGATTGGGAAGTCTGGTCGACGTGAATGAGTTGGACCGAAGAGTCTGTTTCTGTGCTGTACGGCTCTATGACTCTGTAACTGTTCAACTGTGTGGGCCTTCCTGGAATCATGGCCCCTAAGGACAGAATACCCATCAGTATAGTATTGCCTGCCAATCAGAGGCCAACTTAGAAGGTAGTGGCTGTTACTGGTACAATATTCCAACTGAGGCCTTGGATTGAGGAGGAATCCAAGCAAAGGTGATTGATAGCGGGGAAAGGGTCACAGTAGGGAGGGGAGGTGCATTGCCAAAGAGGAGTGCTGGTAAGGTAGAAAATGCTAGAAACACTGGGCTGGTCTGACAGCATCTCCAGGGAGAGATAACATTAAAGTTTAAGGTCATGACCTTTCATCAGAATTCATCTCAGAAAATTATGTAAATAATGCATAAATACTAAAATGAGTATAATTTGTATATTCTCAATAAATAAGATGAAAGAAAGACACATAGCTTCATAGTAACCAGATATCTGTATAAGTATTTAGGCATCATCTCAACCAGCTAGGAAAACCCCAGCAATACAATTTCTCAGGATGGAATGTCATGTAATGTCCCAGTCAATTGACATTATCTAAATTAATTACACAGTATTATGCAGTGTTTGGAATAATAACAAATGGTGGAGTCCTAGAAAAGACCCACGTGTTGCGAGAGGTGATTTTCAGTAGCTGTATTAAACAATTATCTTTCACCATTTAATCAAGCCAGGTTCCCTTTATGTTACTAAAATTTGTCATGTTTTTCTTTTCCCCTTTTATATTCCGACACTGAATCTCATATAATTGCTCTATTTCCTAAATATTCTCCTACATTTAAAAAAAAACACATATTTGGTCTACTTCAATTTACGTTATTATTGGATTATGATCTATAACTCGTTGGCCTTTATCCGTGAATTTAAGTAATCTTTTATAGGAATGACGTTCATGCATTCAATAGTGTATTATAGTACATTACTAATTTTTTGTCATAGTTGAAACAAAACCATGTTAAAATTTTTAATCAGGATAAAAATTGTCAGATCGGGTTAACTTTGAAATATTAACTCTATTTCTCTCCACAGATGCTGCCTCTCCTGAGTATTTACAGCGGTTTTTGTTTTTTATTTGTGTATTGTTGTTTTTGTTCTGTTGAAATTCTGTTGGTAGTATTTTCCAGCCTAGTGGAAGTGGGTTCTAACAAGAGTAGTCATGTATATCCATTGACCTTGATCTTGATGTTGTGATGCCAGAAAATGATATTATTGGACAAGTCAGATCCTGGACTGAAATCTAGCTTGATAGATCATTTTCTTTATTTCTAATGAGGTAATCTTTCATTA